GCCTCGGTGGTAACCACCTCCAAGTCCTTCGAAGTCTTATCCAGGGCCAAGGACAGCTCTTGAATTCTGCCCTCCAAGGTCGACTTAGATTTGCTCAGCTCCTCTACCTTGACGGAAATAGATGAGTTAGAAGCATTAGACAAATCGAGGCTCTGATTAAGATCCTGAAAGGTCTGGAGCAGTGAGATCGTTTTCAAAGAATCTCATCGCGCTAACATGGCCCTCACAGTGGTGGTCAAGCCCGAACTCCCAATGAGCCCGGAAGGAGGCTTGAGTACGGCCCTAAGGCGGTCCGAAACCCCCGTTCTCCATAATTCCCCAGGCTCGAGGCTGACCAAATTCCGTGGGAGAGCAGAGGGGGGAACTGAGAGCGGCGACGAAACAGGAGTCGAAGCATCAACCATGGTCACCCCGGCGTCGACCGAGCTGCCGCCGAGTATGGAATCTATCCGCCTCTTCTTCGGAACTCCAGACTCAAGAGTAGCCGACTCTTTTGACTTTCCCTTTCCAGTTTTCTTAGGCAAAAACTTTTTGTATTCGGCAGAGGTCATGTTGACTGCAAAGGAAAGAAGAAAAGTCAAAATGCAGATTATCAATTTGAAATGTAAGATGAACTACAACAAGAGATAAAAAATAAAATGAGCTACATACCGAGCTCAAAAATGGCATCCTCCCCAAACTTATCTACAACCCGACTTAAGTCAAAAACTCCGAACTCGTCGGTATATTCAATAAGAACTCGAACCGCTAGACGTTCCGAGCTGGAAAGGGCAGTTAAGGGAGTGTCGTAGTCCTTTGGACGCCTTTGATAATGTCTCGGCGTCCAGTATAGTTCAAACCGAGATAAAATGCCGCCATCGTCGAGCCACTCCTCGACAAACCAGGGAAGAGACTCAGAACGAGATACCACCTTAAAATAGGCGTCCTTGAAACCCTTAAAAGATTGGGAGTAAGGAATAAAAATCCCTCTGCCAGGGCTACCTCGTAGGGTAACCCATCCCTTCTTGGCCTTGGACTCGGCGCCAGTACGGAAGGTATATACATCAAAGAAGAAGAGGAAAAGAGCAACGGTGCAGGGGAGGCACAAGTATGCACACACCTGCTCAAAACCCCGTACGAAAGCCCATGAATTTGGATGGAGTTGTGAGGGTGAAACCCTAAGACGCCGAAGAACTGACATTTGAAAGTCGGTAAAAGGAAGCCGGATACCTAGTTTGGTAACAAGATCTCGGTAAAAGTAGAAGAAATGAGGCTCATCTAATATAGGACCTGAACATACAGGAAAGTCGCCAGGCGGAAGAAGATCAACCCCGTTGGGATTTCCCACAGGGAGTTGGGCCACCTCGGAAAGAGACATTGTGGACCGTCTTTGGAGAACTTCAAGAAGGACCCAATCTTGAGCGTCTGAACCGTCCATGACGATATTCCTGGAATATGAAGGACAAAGATCAGTACACATGCCAACCGATTCCGACCTGGGACTACCAGCCTCGGAACGAGGCGAAGACGAACTCCAAGAGGGAGGAACAGAGCTATCTGAACTACTGACAAGGTCGATAAATGAAACCCGACTTGTTGCAGAGTCCTTTAAGGAGGAAGGGGTGACTGACTTAGGAATTCCAATCTCAGACGAAGAAAGGCTGGATGAGCTAGCGCTCAAGTCAAGAGGAGGAATCCGATCCAGAACGGACCTCGTACCAGAAGCCATCCCAGGAGATGGCAGAATAATGGACAGCGGAACTGGTTCAGGAAGGGAGCTCAGTCTAGGAGCTGAGGGATTCATTGGGGAAGGATTGCTCATGCCAAAGTCAAGCTGTGACTGACGACCCCCTCTAGTTCGGCTTGTTCCCCTCCTACCTCGGCCTCCGCGAGAACCACGAACGCCCCCACGAGGACCACGGAGAAGCTGTTGAAGCTTCTCCTCCTCGGTGTATTCTCTACCGAAGAACCAGTACTGGACAGAGCGAGGCAAATGGCTCACCGCCTCCTCCTCCCCCACGCCACCTGGCTGGGATGCTGGACCAGAGGAAGAACTAGGGGCACTCATTATGAACCCTCGACACTTTAAAGAGGAAAGTACAAACCCAATCCAAAAACGGAGCAACGGGGAAAGGCGAAATAAACAGAAAGGTACCTGAACTTGGGAGCAAAGATGGTTAAAACTAGACTCAATGAACAGAAACCTTCACTGGATGCAAGGGGAGCTCCACGAGAATTTGCCACATGAATAACTGTAAAGTCTGGAACCCGTTGAGAAAATGGTATTTAAAGGGGCGACGAGTGACTTGGGCGCGAAGGCGAAGGGCTTTCTCTTCAAACGGTTAAGTGAGGAAGGGGGCAGAATTGGGAATTCACCCTGGGAGCATTAAAAACACCTCATCATAACCTGAGCAAAATTGAAGCAGTACGCACTGCACGAAGCACGAACTACCAATGGGCGCGAAACACGTGGACTGCCATAACCGTCACAGCAGACACGATGCGAAGGGTCAAATGCGAAGGGTCAGGATAAGGTCCAGCCCCAAGTTCCGGGGTCAGGTATCACCCGGGTATCACCTTCCGATACGACGACTTGACCAGCGTGACGAAAGACAGCCGCAAAGAATTTGGGCAATATCCGACATAGTCAACTTCGACTTCAAGTGCAAACGTCAGGGAAGTATAGTGAGCGAGATCCTGACGACTTGAACAAACTACAAGTGTCGACTCCAAAGTCTCAGAGATTCAAATTTGAAGAGTAAACTCCGATCGACCGAGCCTAAGACGACAACCTGTAATCTCGGCATCACGGATCCCGGAATGCCGAGCTGGGGGGCAACTGTTATGGATATGAATATCATATCCCAACTACCTAGTAAAATATCCAGAGGGATATTGAATCAGTTACATCTCAACAACCTCAAACAATTAAAATGATATGAGATAAGGATCACACCCCAACAGAAAGAGGGAATCCAGCTACAATGGGGGGATTTCAGAGGCACAATCCTGGGAAGGTAATCCTATAAATAAGAGCCTAAGAACCCTAGGTAAGATTTCAGAACTCATTTATTACTTCTGCCCACACTGTGCACACACCCACCCCTTGGCTATAAGCCTATTGCTTGTGCGCAGTGATTGGGACCTCGGCTGTAAGCCTAGTATACACTTGATATACACTATCTCTGAGCGCATACCTTACGGTATAGCAGTACGGTCTATCCAGGACCGAACAGAAACATTATGGAATCGTACTTAGTTACAGTATTAAAATACTGTAATCTTAAGTGAATCCATTCATAGCAAGCTTTTGGCAATATTAATACTTTTAGATGGTCATACCTTTCTTTCAAACTTTGCACAATTCTAATGGATATTTTGCTGTTAAATATTAAATTTTAAGATTTTCATAGAGATAATGACGGAGAAATATCATTGCCGACACAGTGTTGCTATGAGGTCTTATTTCCTTCATTGATTGTTTCTTCGAGGTTATTTGCACTATCATAAATTTCAGCATTATAGTCCATGGAAGATAGTTCATGTCCTATATATTGAGAGTAACAAATTCAAATTTGATAAGGCTTGCCATTATAATTGCTATAATAATTAATATTAGTTTATAGATAAATAATCAAGAAAAATACAAAATACAAATAAAATTTAGAAGCTTGAAATACCTATACTGATTATTGTAGGGATGTGGCCTTGCTAAATTGATTTTCGTAGAGATCAACGATGCCAATAACGTGTTATGAAATAAAGAAAAAATGAAATACAAATTTAGAGAGAGATCAAGATAACAATAATGTAAAATATTAAAGTCTAGTTCTTTATAAATTATTTTCTTCTTCAACTCATCTCCACAAGAAGATATTTACTTTTACAGGAATTAGGGTGAAGAGGTTACAAATATGCATAATGTGTAGGTTATTACACCATTATATAAAAGGTTGTAACAACAAAGGCATACATTGACATCTAATAATGCCTAATTAAGGTAGTCATTTACCATGTAAAACATATGTGCTTTGCAACACCTTTTATTATTTAAATGCTTTAGTCTTTAATTTTTAAAATGATCGAGGTTTAAATAAAGTTATTTATACTAAATAGTTGAAATCAATAATTCATTGGATAATATAACAATTTTTTTTTGATACATATGACTTGTCTTTTTTTTTTTAGTACATGTACTTGTCTTTTTTACTTCTCACCATAAAATTCATGTATTTTGGCCCAACCCACCTCTTGGGACCAACGCTGAGCTTGATCCACTTTTTATTTATTTATTTAGAATTGGACTTAAGCCCATGTTGCGGGTTCGAACTTGAACCTTTGGCCTAGTCCTCTCCCCATCAAGGCTATGATAGTTATGTCGTGCCTTGTCCCACACCTTCCACAAACTCGTTCATGCATGACTCACATTCCTTCGCCTCTCATATTAGGTATTTATAGCTTCGTTTTGTACATTAATCAACAAGCCTCCATCAATTGGATTGCACATTCCATCACCAAACACACATAAATTATATTGTATTACTTAGAGAATATATTTAGTACTACAAGACACTCATTTACTAAAAGTAGAAAAACGTGGAATTTAAGTGATATTAATCATAATCGGTTCTAGAATCGAACCACCTTTTAAACCGACTCCATTTGTGAAAAAGAAACACTTTTTCAGTTCAACATATAAAAACAAATTGATCAGAACCATATACACCGTTGATATGTATTAAGTCTTGAGTGCGTTAAGTTTTAGTAAATGATGAATTTAAGTCTTGAGTGCTACAAAGCAGTAAAGATATTTTGGTAACACGTAAGGTCAAAGTTTCGTCTCGGAAGTCGTCTTTTATTAGAACAATGCATCTCAACTCAACTCATCATAAAAAAAACTGCCACGTCAAAATACCATAAACACATTCCGCCTTCTGGGGGCATTTCTGGCATTTCACATCCCCTGACTTCAACAAATGTTATCTCAGAAGTCTCAAGAGTCAAGACCCTGTGACGCACCTTGCGCGTCGTCGTTTTCAGTTCAATGCTTATCGGCCTAACCCTTCTCTCTCTTTCTCTTTCTCGTTACGCAAAAAATTAAAACAAAAATTAAATCTGAAATTCAGATACAATTAATTCCTCAGATTCGCAATTTCCTTTTCCTTTATTTATTTTTTTCCCGCGATTACGTCTTCAATTCCGATTGGGGAATTCATTTCCCGTCCCGTATCGCATGAATTTCGCATTCCGATAGGGGCACCGCCATGGACGGAGCCGTGACGGCGGAGAGGTCGGCGCTTCTTTCGTCGCCGACGAGCTCGAGGTCGGTGACGCAGACGGTGAACGGATCGCACAAGTTCGTGATCCAGGGTTATTCGTTGGCGAAGGGGATGGGAGTGGGGAAGCACATTGCGAGCGATTTGTTCACCGTTGGAGGTTATCACTGGGCGATCTACTTCTACCCCGATGGAAAGAACCCCGAGGACAATTCCGCTTACGTCTCGGTTTTCATCGCGTTGGCTAGCGATGGCACCGATGTGAGGGCGCTGTTTGAGCTCACGCTTGTGGATCAGAGTGGCCAGGGTAAGCACAAGGTTCATAGCCATTTCGATCGCTCGCTTGAGAGTGGTCCCTACACGCTCAAGTATAAGGGTAGTATGTGGTAGGGTTTCCAATTCCATGCCTTCTCGTTTTCATAATATGTTTCCCTATTTTGTTTTTTTATGGTTTGAATTTTTGTAATTAAAGTTTATCTCTGAAGTATGGTTTAATTTCAAGAGAAATTGAGAATTTGCTTGATTGCATGAATTTCGTTTCTTTTTCTTAATCATGCTTAAGGAAGTCCTCATAATTTGCTCACCTAAACATTATATACAGGTCAGTTAGCAGGCTTGTTCTTAGTTTTATTTATGGTGTATATATAGATAATTATATTACCACATGGTACCAGAAGGCTTCACTGGCAAAAATCTGTTGGCCTGATTGTGTTCTGATTTTTTTTTTTTATTAAAATTATTTTTGTTGAATAGTTTATGATTTTTATTTTTATTTTGAAGATTAAAAGTTAAAACACAAAACAAAAACAACTAAGATATTTCTTAATTTAATTCTAAAAATTAAAAAACAGTTTTAACTTCTAAAATTATTTTTATAAAACAAGTCTTATCAAACACTTTTATTTATTTATTCTGAAAATCAAAAAACTATTTTTAAGAACATATTCCAAACAGGCCCATATCTCTGTCTCTCTCTCTTTTTTAATTTTAATTTTTAAGGGTATTTCATGCATTGCCATCTTAGTTTTTTATCCCTCTTTATCTCTCATAGGCTCTCCTTATGTGGAAAAGGGATGCTCAATCAGTATTTAAGTACTATGTTTTGTTAACATTTGTGAAATGTTGATCTTGTTTATATGTTCGTATAGGGGATACAAGCGGTTTTTCAGACGGTCTTTGCTTGAAAGCTCAGATTTCCTCAAGAATGATTGCTTGAAAATCAACTGTACGGTTGGAGTTGTGATTTCGGCAACTGATTGTCCACCACTTCACTCCATTAACGTCCCGGAATCTGACATTGGATCACACTTTGGTGCACTATTAGATAATATGGAAGGTTCAGATGTTACTTTCAATGTAGCTGGGGAAAAGTTCCCTGCTCATAGGTTGGTGATGGCTGCTAGATCCCCGGAATTTCGATCTAAATTTCTTGATGATTTGGATGTGGAAAAGCAAGAGATTATTGTAACAGATTTAGAACCTAAGGTTTTTAAGGTAAAAACTATTTATTTCTTATTTTTTCCCCTTTCCTTGTTTCCTTTCCCTGGTAGGATTAAGCTTGGTTAGGATTTACTCCCTGTAATTTTTTTAGTTTTTTTTGTCTGCTTGTTTTTCTTTTAGATTTTTTTTTCTTGACAGAAAAAATATTTTATACATGTCAAGAGGGAAAGTACAACTAGGTAGGATAGATGTCCTGATTTCCCTCTTACTTTTACAGGCCATGCTGCACTTTATCTACAGGGATACTCTTACAGAAGAGGTGGACATGATTCCATCAACCACGTCCAGTGATTTTCCAGTTTCTGAGTCATTGACAGCAAAATTGTTAGCTGGAGCAGACAAGTATGGTTTGGAGAGGCTTAGACTGATGTGTGAGTCTCGTCTTTGCAAGGACATTTGTGTGAATTCTGTAGCCAACATTTTAACCCTGGCTGACCATTGCCATGCCATGGAATTAAAAGCTGTTTGCCTAAAATTTGCTGCTCAAAATCTAGCAGGTATACTTAATTATTATCACTTGTACTACTTGCTTGGTTAGCATTATCAATCATGCTAACATAAAGACCGACGTTTTCCTTACAACTTTTGTTATTGACGAGTGACTAAAGATTAAAGAATAAAAAAAAAATGAGATCAGACATAGGCATCAGGCATCCTCTTCTAACTAAACAGCTATCTGATATACACAACTAGATACCAAGCAGAAAAATAGATTGTCTATTCCAAAAGAAAACTCAAGGCCGCAAAGCATAAAGACAGCTCAATATAAATTTATATTCTGGTTATTCTGGTGATCATCGCTTTCAACTTGTCCATCTAACCATGAAAATATGAGATTATTTAATTCATGAGATAGATAATTCCATGGATGATTTGAACAGTGTCCCCTTGGACTGGTTACTGACTCTGTTTCTCATATACCAAATTCAAACAAGTAGGAATAACTGGTGGTAGCAATAACACAATTGTAATGTCAACAAGCACTCACAGTATTGAATAAATTCAGACAAAACTGAATTGACATATTTGTTTAGGATTTAATTTTGATGGTAAAAAGTTTTGCACTATCAGTGAACTATTTGATGCCACCTGTTCAAAAAGCAGTTCAAAGCTTTTACGGGAAGTGAAAAACCTTGGTTACTATAATGATGCTGCAGTTTCTTGTTCATTGATATTAAGGAATAATATAAAATAAATGAAAAACGTTTGTCATTTTAAAGGACATAATTTTGTGTCATTTTAGATGAAACAACGTCGTTTTGGTACATAATTGGTGATATTTTACATTCTCTCTCCTCCACTTCTCTCTTTTCCTAATTTTATAGTGGAGAGAGAATGTAAAACTTCACCAATTATGTATCAAAACGTGGAGGAGAGAGAATGTAAAATATCACCAATTATGTACCAAAACGACGTTGATTCATCTAAAATGACACAAAATTGTGTCTTTTAAAATGACAAACACTTTTTCCATAAAATAATATGTATGTCTTCACCTAACAGGTTAAGCTTTTAGGTTGAATTAATTTTTTTTTGACAATTGGCAGCATAAAAATGATAAAATTTGATGTCATTTATTTGTGGATTCGCTTTTTCTGCGGTCAGTGCAGATAAGTTATCTGCAGTAAGCCCAATACGATGTCGTTTTGGAGTAAAAATCATGGTGTTTTTGTAATTTTAATTTATTTCAGGGTTATTCTAGTCTTTATAATTATAATTTTTTAATCTTTCAATCCCAAAACGACATCGTTTTGGGAGTAAATGCAGATAACTTATTTTTCTGTTTATTTATTATCCTCGTGTTTTCTAAAACTTATGCCGTTTTTGGTTTCTTACTGTCTCTCTCGTAGATTTTGTTGTCTTTCTCTCTTATGTGCAGTTATGTTGGATGATTAGCTTTGTGTCTTTCTTCTTTCATATGCATTTTTTTTTTTTATACAATGGCAGCACTGAGGTTTGAACCTATGACCTCATGCAAACTACTCAAATCCCTCACCACCAGACCAATCCTAGTAGCTTCCTTTCATATGCATTTTTACATATTTCAATCCATAGAATTTCCTCTCTCCTTTTGTTTTTTTCCTTCCGCCTCTTTCTTTTCCATTGCTTCCTTTTCTCTTCTCAATTATTTGGACTTTTTTTTATGCTTATATATTTCTATAGAAAGCATGGATACTTTCAAAGTTCAACTTTACACCACTGGAAAAAGAAATGATTATGCTATTTATCCTTGGACATGTGCACATGGAATTGTTCTGCAGTTATCTATAATTCGTATCTGACACTGATCTATTGCCACTTTTTTACTAATCAAGCTTTTTACGTCTTTTCTATTTCACTTGAATACAATTAATACTTGCTTTGATGGGTATTCAAAGAAGTTAGACCATTGTCGAGGGTTTTGTATCTTGTCTGTCTGTTTTTTTTTTTTTTTTGTGTTGAAATTTTAGAAAATTGTAGACAATAGATTGGTCGGCCAACTTTTGTCCCTCTGTTCTAATTCCAGTTGTTTTGATCGTGCAATATTATAACTTTTGGGGCACAGGAAAAGAGGAAGTGAAAGTAAAATTTACCTAGTCCTTGGCTGTGGCATCTTTTAAACAAAGGCATAATACATTTGGATCGATGCTCAACTTATCACATTTCAAACATTGGCATAGGTGAACACTTAAAACAATAAACTTAGGGCTGTGATAATAGTTAGGTTCTATTCAGGGATGTTGCTTTGGCTCACAATCCACAAAACACAACAGTCATGGGGTGTTCATTATCTTCATAAGTAACGTTTTTGAAATTTATCCATCCCTTAGAAACACAGCATGCCATTCTCTAATATATATTTGTAGAGAATTACCGAATAAAATGAATTATTGACTTTGGGTTTAGAACATTATCATTTTCCTTTACCTTCTATTTTTCGCATTCTTGATAGTTGATATGATTGTTCTTTTTGTTTCTTGACTTGTTGCAGCTGTGATGCGGTCAGATGGATTTGAGTATATGAAAGAAAAATGCCCATGGCTACAGTCAGAGATCTTGAAGACAATTGCTGGCTGTGAGGGTGATAGTTGCAGTGCTGGGGAAAAATCTCAGAGTGTGTGGGCCCAGCTGTCAGATGGTGGTGACACAAATGGTAGGAGGATCAGGCAGAGAGTCTGATATCTGTTGTCACACTGGTATCTCTCTGACTCTTTTGTAAATGCAGGTGATAATGCTGAAAAAATGGGGGATAAAAAAGAAAAAGGCATAGGAGAGGGAAAATCCTCTTCTGTCCAAAATTTCCATGTTTCAATGGAAATTTCATTAGAAAAAGCAGGCAGACTAGATACTATGCAGGCTTTTTATGTAAATGTCACCAGTGGTGTGTATGTTATGTTAGTGCAGATTAGTCATTAAAAATGAGCTCATCTGCATTAGACTTTTGACACTGACTATACTTTGGAGGTGGATATTTTGGTTACTGAACTTTTTCTCTCCCGTCTGCTTTGTCTTTTTGTCCTTAGTTCAAACCTAAACGTTTGTAGAAATAGGTTCATTAGGATTGCTGTTTTTGTTGATATACCATGTAAAAAATATTCATTTTGTAACAATTGTTATTTTCATGACACAACATACAAAATGATAGCGATATGGTTAGGTGGTCTGTCTTGAATTGCCATTTGAATTTGATGTTTCTGGATGACCTAAGGTAGCCCATATAGCATGACTACCTCATTTTTTCCTTTTTGGGGTTAGAAGGGATGTCCAAGACCTTGGGAATGTAGGGTAAAGTTAAGGGAAAGTAACTTCGCAGAGACTTAAGTATTGCATTGCTGATAGACCGCAGAGCTAGAAGCAGAGGGGATGTTGGGATATTTCTGCAAACAGATTCTCTAAAGTTGTTGTGGACAGATTCTCCAACCAACCAAACTATGGATAATTTCCTGTATAATAGTAAGAGATATTAGATATAAATATTGTGGAATTTAGAATTTTCCAGCATGGTACAAATAGCCTTGAAATGTTGTTCCATGAAACCGTAAGTTGAGCAAACTTTGGATGGTATTATTGACTAATGTCACGATGATGTCCGTTATAAAATCAAGCCATCTGTCTGATGTAGAATGTTTCTCAATTATTTTCACTTTTATCTAAATAGAAGAGAAGAAAAAATTTCCTTCGATAAATATTTTCTATTATTGTTATTTTCGTAATTATTAAAGGTAAATGAAAATTTTACTTTCTTTTTAAATAAATCCACAAGTGTTTATATTTCAACAATATGAGCTTTTAAAAAAATAATTTTTGACGAGAATGTTTTAAGAATTTAGCGAAAAACATAGTGAAAGAAAATAGAAACTTTTGAAAGTAAAAATAAATAAATAAAGAAGAAACAAAAGAAAAAACACACACAATTATATATATATATAGAGAGAGGGGGGTAAGATCTTTTGACACTAGTGTCATTTGAAATTTGACATCTCATCTGAGAGTCATTAAATAAAAAAAGATTAACGACTCTGATTTGTAAGCATGTGACACCATTGATCTTTTTTAATTTAACGACTCTCAGATTAGATGTCAAACTTCAAATTTGACACCGGTGTCAAAGGATCTTACTTCACACACATATACATATATATATATATATATGGGTTTAAAGTTACTTTAAATAACTTTATTTAATGTTCATCAAAATATACACATAAAAGTGTGTGGGATTCATGTGAATCCATGTGAAGAGAAGAGAAAAAAAAATATGGGTCCTATATACTCCTATGTGTGTATTTTGGTGAATATTAGATAAAATTATCTAAAATAATTTTAATAACTTTAAATCCTATATATATATATATATATATATATATATATATATATATATATATATATATAAGTATATTGTTAAATTTTTACATTATTTTAAGATTGTTTTTCTAATTTGTACTAAAATGAAAGTATAGTAAATATGAAAATATTCATAATCACAAGGTTCTTTGACTTTTGTATGCAAAAACACACACCATAATGACCACATATACACACATAAAATTTATCCTCTTGACCAGGATTTATAGTGAAATCTATTTATTTATATATAACTAGAAGAGAGAAATCACTATAGGATAAAAATATCACTTGTATGTTTTAAATCCTATTAACCAATTTCATTTTCACACTTAACCAGTTAATAATAATGATAATATTAATAATAAATTAATAAAATAATAATAATTGTATATACCTTTCATGGGAATTACATGAAATACGTAAACTAAATGAAAAATGAAAGTTAAATGAAAAAATGATAAATACAAATTAAATGAAAAACAGAAACTAAATAAGTCAGCAATAGCAAAAGTTTTTCGTCCCAAGTTGGGCTCCAAAAAAATAATAGTATCCATCCATAATGGGAACCAAATGAAAAACGTAAACTATATAATTTTTATCTTGCTTTCCTTACTTCTGAATGTAATATGATCTTCAATACATATACAAGAATTCAATAGCCTAAATGAAGACATTGCTTATTTGGAAGTAATTCCTACGAGCAAATTTACAGAGACAGAAAAGCAGTTGGGGATACAGATTTAGTTACATGATTGAGACCAACTAAGGCCATGAAGATTGAGAAAGATTGATCATAGTTGCTTATGTTAGGTTATCTATGTTAGGATTATCGACCGTCTATCTTCTTTTGTTTCCCTTCGATTTCAATTCCATTTACTTTTCCAATTTCGTTGCAATCGGATGTTGTGATCATATACTTCTTGTTATCAATTTACTGAACCTTTATTATTATGAATTCTCATTTCAATAATTTATCGATTTATTACTTTTTCATTGCTCGTTATTTCTCATGGTGGAAGGCAAGAAATTATACATGCAACAATCAATTCTTTAAATCTATGGCAATGTTGTCAGATGTTGACCTTGAAAAAAAACATGTGACTCCATTCACAAGGTTTTACTAATGATGTCACGGAGATTAAAATGTTCTCTAAATGGCTTCTTGATATAGGTGACGACAACGATGGTGACAATATTGATGAATTCTTTGGCATAAAAGTTCCAGATGAAATCTTGATCAATGATTCCAATGATCCGTTCTCAGATTTAGTAGAATTTGCATATCCAAATATTTTAAAAAATATGGATAATTCGTCTTACTTCCAAGAACGTGCTATCTTAGCACTGACATTAGCAGATGTCTACATGTTAAATGAGTATTTGATGTCAATGTTCCAAGTGAAGAGAAGGTATATCTTAGTTCATATAGTATCTGTAAAGCATAAGGAAATAACAATATTGGGGAAGAAGCATTTCCTCCAGAAATACTTAACACTTTTTCTGGAACTAGACTTGCTAACCATAAATTGACGTTCAAAAAAAGAGTGTCTGTCATGCTTATAAGGAATATAGATCAATTAAAAGGGTTGTGCAATGGGATTATATTGCTTATTACCAAACTCGGCGAACATGTTATTGAAGGAAAAATTCTTCTAGGCAATAACATAAGTGAGATTGTGTTAATTCCAAGGATGAATTTGAATCCTTCTAATTACATCTTCCTGTAAAGTTTGAACGCAAGAAATTTCCATTGATTGTTTGCTTTTGCCATGACAATAAACAATAGTCAAGGTTAGACTTTATCTCATGTAGGAATTTTTCTTCCAAGACCAATTTTTACTCATGGCAAATTGTATGTAGCTCTCTTTAGGATCAAAAGTAAGAAAGGATTAAAGCTTCTCATACTTGACGATCATGACACATTTGTCAATACTGCAACAAATATTATGTTTAAAGAAAATTTTCAAAGGTTGAAATAAGTTAATGGGACAATCATTTATGCAATTGTGACAGAAATGATTCTTCAACCACAGACACAAAAATTGAGATTGAATCATTTCTCGCTCTTTCAATTTTGCGTCTGAGGCAGAGAAAATCATTTCTGCCACAATTGCAGAAATGATTTTCTCTAAGTTAATTTGTCTTATTTGTTCAATTATTTTACATTAATTTTTAGAGTTTGCTATTTCACTATAATATGTAATATACATATAATTTTACTGTTTATTTATTCTATTTTATACTTTTTAATCACCACCATCTTATGTGTAATCACGGTTCATAGACTAGTTATACTTAAATTTGAGCACAAGTAATAAGTTATTAAGGGTGAAAAGTAGGCAAAATAAGATAAACCATAAAATATAAGATGAAAATACTATAAAAGCATACTGTTTTATTTAACCAAAAAGAATATTAAAGGATGATATGGAATATATCCTTGAATCTTATATTATGTAGTCATTAAAAAATGATGGGCCCAAATAATAGGCCCAAAGGCAATGCCAACTTTGTTATTATAATTTTTTTTTAAAATAAAAATAAAAATAAAAATGGGGAATTGGTGATTTACTGAGCCAATAGCCAATAGGCAGTGTTTCTTCCTCCCTCAAACCCTCAAACCTTGAAACCTAACAGAAGCAGATAGGTAGTTACTGTGTCCAAAGCAGAGATGGGAATCCACGAAGACGACGACAATGTTGTAACGAACGAAGCTGCAGCGGAGGAGAAAGATAACGTTAAGCGGAAGGGGAAGCACGACAAACCTAAGCCATGGGATGATGACCCAAACATCGATCACTGGAAGGTCGACAAATTCGATCCTTCATGGAACGAAAGCGGCATGCTTGAAGTGAGTTCCTTCTCCACTCTCTTCCCTCAATATCGTGAAAAGTACCTCCAAGAAGCTTGGCCTATTGTCAAATCCGCACTCAAAAACTTCGGTGTTTCATGCGAACTCAACTTGGTATGCTAACCCTACTCTTCAATTCACAAACCCTAAATTCAATCCTCAAATTCACTTAACAACCTTTGCTATTGTCACAGGTTGAGGGTTCCATGACAGTTTCAACAACCAGAAAGACTAGGGACCCCTATATTATTATCAAAGCCAGGGATCTTATCAGGCTTCTATCTCGAAGTGTTGCTGCTCCTCAGGTCATTATTATTATTAATTATTATTATCATCTTCACCTATAAGCTATATTGGTTCATTTTTTCAGTGGAATGTTTTTTAGTTTATTTGGGATATTTGTAATAGTTCTTGGGCTCATTTCGGTGCTTATGTATTGTTCTCGTTCCCAGGCAATAAAGATACTTGACGATGAAATGCAATGTGACATCATTAAAATTAGCGGCTTCGTCCGCAATAAGGTAACTTCGAGGTTGCCTTGCCTTGCCTCGCCTCGTCTTGTCTCCTTTGCTAGCGATTTTATTTGATTGCAACTTGTAGGAATATTATGTCAATGTTTATTTGCTGCATATTCTTCTTGATGTTCGTACTTTAAGTGTTGTTCTCTTGTTTCTCTTTTTCCTCCCTATATGTTTTTGTTTTGTTTTATCTTAGAATATCAATGCTTCTGTAAAACTCTTATTTGGAATGAGTGTTAGTTCTTTGGATTGGAAAGCTTCCGGTTCATAATTGATTGATGATCCTTTGTTACTGACAGTCTTCAAACCCTTATACATGCTCCAGTCAGCTCTTTGGATTTCCTATTTTGCATATATGCTCATATATTTTTTATATGTTGTCTAATATTTTACAAAGCGGAAGCATTTCAGAGAAATTAGTCTGATGGTGGGAAGCTTACACTGTTTTTCTGACTGCAGGAGCGATTTGTAAAAAGAAGACAGCATCTTGTGGGTCCCAATTCTTCCACCTTGAAGGTTTGCTTTTTGTGATGACTAATTTTTTTAGTACTGGGGATGGACCCTTTGTTATCTTTCTTGCTTCCATACTGCATACCACTGGTTGTTGACTTCAACCTTGTAACTCACTTTTCTCTAAATCAATCTATTTCTGAGGTGCAGGCTCTTGAAATACTCACTGGCTGCTACATTCTCGTCCAGGTAATTTTTTAATTATTATTTCAGATTGTGATGGCTGGACATTTACTTAAACTAAGATTTGGGTGGAGTCCAGAACTAGCTGACTTCTTTCAAATTTTGCTTGCAATTCCACAGGGAAACACGGTTGCTGCTATGGGTTCATTCAAAGGCTTGAAGCAAGTCAGAAGGATTGTTGAAGAATGCATGCTGAATAAAATGCATCCTGTATACAACATTAAGGTTAACATATTTGTATTTTCTCCAGCTTACTTTATCGTATAGATTTCAGGTGTAGATAATATCTAAGTTCTCCTTTTCATGATGTCAGATTCTTATGATGAGGAAGGAACTTGAAAAGGATCCAGCACTTGCCCATGAGAACTGGGATAGGTTTCTTCCAAAATTCAAGAAGTATGCCTTTTATTTATTTGATAATTTGTATATGAAAAATACTCATCCTTTGCTTCAGTTTTATTGACACATCATATCTTTTTTCTAGGAAAAACGTTAAGCAAAAGAAGGTTAACACTAAACAGAAGAAGCCATATACTCCTTTTCCTCCACCTCAACAGCCCAGTAAGGTGAGACAACCACTAATATCTCCTTTCAAGTTGGATTTCTTCCACTCTTTAATGTTAAGAGCACCCTCCACTCATGCAGTCAACCCTCCCCAACAAAAATATAAAAATAAAAGAATTCACTAGAAAAGAGAAGTTTGGTGGTCAAGAAGATGAAGAAGCTCAAATGCTTTTTGTTTACAATTTATTTAATGGTTCTCAAAGAATAATTATATTTCAATGGTTCTGAAGCACTCTTTTGCCTTGTGCTGCTTTCTAGTAGGACTCTATTGAACCAAACTGCGTTTTCTGGTTCTGTTGCAATTATGTGTTGGAGCATTTGCTTTCCTATGATAGTTTCTGGTTCTGAAGCACTCTTTTGCCTTGTTCTGCTTTCTAGTAGGACTCTATTGAACCAAACTGCATTTTCTGGTTCTGTTTTGATTACGTGTTGAAGCATTTGCTTTCCTATGATAGTTTCTGGTTCTGAAGTACTCTTTTGGCTTGTTCTGCTTTCTAGTAGGACTCTATTGAACCAAACTGCATTTTCTGGTTCTGTTGTGATTACATGTTGAAGCATTTGCTTTCCTATGATAGTTTCTTCTATTGCTATGGATTGGTTAAAGTCAAGAACCTTACATTTTGTCAGTAACTCATGTTATGAGGGTAACATATTCCACTTTATGTTGTGCTTGTATCAATAAAGATTATAGTCATACATAACTATGATATGATTAAGATTCAATTTTGAGGTTTCTCTTCAGGAGTCGATATGGTATTCATCGGTATGCTTTTTGGTTTCTATCATAACGAGTCTTTCTCTATCTGTTTTTGCTCAAATGTGCATTTTCTTGGAGCATATTTTTGAAATAGGTGGACTAATTCTTGAATCTTTAAATAAGAATGACAACACCAATTCCATAACCACTTTATGGTGTGGTTATATGACTTTTTTGGGATGAAATTTGCTGTTCATATCAGCCTTCATTTGTATTGTTTTGGTCCAAGTTTTGACATCCTATGCTCTTCTTGCTGATATTTTTTTTCTTAATTTGTGAATTAAATTCTAAGGGGTTTGGTAATTTATGTGATATTTCAGATTGATATACAATTGGAAACTGGAGAATACTTTTTGAGTGATAAAAGGAAATCAGCAAAGAAATGGCAAGAGAAGCAGGAGAAGCAGGCAGAGAAAACTGCTGAAAGCAAAAGAAAAAGAGAGGAGGCCTTTGTCCCACCCAAGGTTTATTTCAATATTTGTTTCGCTGTTTTTTTTCGAAGAATTTATTTTGCAATTGCTTTATAATTTCCTTGTCATTTTGTAATACTTTTATTTGCACTATTCAGGAGCCTGAAAAACTGGTGGATAAATCTGAGGATGGTAATAATAATGTAGCGGACATGGCAATGTCCTTAAAGGTAACACTGTTCTAAGCGGAATTTTCATTTGCCAAAATAAGACATAGAAATCTTTTTTCTTGTAGGGCCTGGTAAATTTATAAACTTTCATTGTCAAACTTTATTTTCTCTTCAATGAATTATCATCTTACTTGAATCTAAAATGATTCATCCACAGAAAAAAGCAAAGAAGTTTGGGAAGCGCAAATCTGAAGAAAACATAAATGCTGAAACGTATATTATAGGATCGTCAGAACAAGGATCAGGAAAGAAATCCAAGAAGCAAAGGTCTTAGCATGATCTTCATCTTGGAGATGGAAGATGGGCATGTTTTGTGAATTATTTTTGCATCCAATGTCTCTTCGGTAACAGTTTTGACACTGTATCAGGCTTTGTTGCTCATTGCATTTGTTGTCACTCACTTGTACTCGCCAGTTAGACTGTAACTTGTAAGCCGAAAATCAAAATATGGCAATTTCTAAATCATTTTTTTTATATATTGATGAGAATTCAACACATGATTTAATACAAACTACTTAAACTTCTTACCACTAGAATAATTTTAGTGGCTTATTTCTTAGTCATTTTTCTGTCTATTCTATTGTGATAGCTGTTTTCCAATACACCCTAAGTTTGGTAAATAATTTTAATTTGTGATATTTCGAAATCTCTTCAAATTTAAAATTTTTGAATTTATTGTTAATATTGATAATTTGATGATAAATTATTTTTCCTATTAGCCAAAAATGCAATGCTTATATATAAGTTAGTATTTTGTTCAATTGGCTAAGTTGTAAATTGGAAATTAACATTAAATTTATTAAGTTCAAAAGTATTTAACATAATTAATTTTAATTCATATTGCAATCTTTTAGAATTATTAGAAAGTTATAAATATTAAATTTATTTTTAAAGATGATAATTTAAGAATTAGTTTTTCATTCTTTTCTTGTATGTTCAAAAATTCAATGTGTATTTACTAAATAAAATCCGATGCATATGATGAAAATATTTGCTATATTTCTGAAAAAAAATTCAATTAAAAGTTGGAAAATGAAAAATAAAATATTGTTGAGTTTTTTTTGAAAGCTTTTGAATATTTTGATTGTAAAATTTTCCGCAATTAAGAATATATTAATGTCTTGTTAGCCCAAAAAGACTAATTAGATAATTGCTTTAATGTTTTTACAGTGAATGTATATAAGTTATCTTTTCTTTCAAAATGATATCGTTTTGAATTGAAAAATTAAAAAAATTACAATGAAAAAGACTATTATAATCCTGAAATAGATTATAATTACAAAAATATTTTGATTTTCGTCTCAAAACGACGTTATTTTGGGCTCAATGTAGATAAATTATCTACTTTGACCGTAGAAAAATTGAATCCATAGACCATAGAAAAAAGTTTGTCCTTTTAAAGGATATAATTTTATATCATTTTAAACAATCAACGGTTAGAATTTGTTGGGTCAAATTTATTAATTAATTATTAATTCACAATAAAATTCAATAAATTCTGACCGTTGATTGACGGAAATCAAACTGTTAAAATTTAAAATGACATAAAATTATATCATTTAAAAGGACAAACGTTTTTTCCGAAGCATAATGTTATATTCTATTTAAAATAATCTAAATTAAATCTTGATATTCGAAATATGAATATTTAAATTTAAATAAAGATACCTTGTTGATAACATCTAAGGAACCTAGTCAAGGAGATACTTGCTCCCCAAGGATTTAGGAACCACTATCCCTATTTATAGCACTTCAACATTAAACACAACACAGGATTTAGAAAACGCTCTGTTTGTAGCTCTTCAAAACTAAAATTGTTGCCATTGTGCCATGGAATGGTGTAGTCATTGTTGCAGGTTTTGTCAAACCAGAGTTGAAGGCATCGCTGATGATTTTCCCTGCAAATTTTTCTGGTAAATTTTTCTATTTCTATTTCATTACTTTTCTCAAAAAAATTGATTGGTCCTTTAATTACTCTTGATCTTATAACGTGGAAAAATAACAATGGGTATTCACTGTTAAGAAGATTGTAGGGTTTGTAGAACAAAATTATATTCTCATACTATGAATTTCAATGTTCTGTTCACAGCACTTGTACTTTGTGTGGGAAGGTTCTGTTTGACTGGAGTATGCCATTCAAACATGTATTTTCATATAGGAGGAGGAAAAAATGTTTTAGAAGAATGAAGAGACTGATGAAGACAAAGCGTTATGCAAAAGCTAAGAAAAGGGACAAATCTTCCTATTATTATAAAGGATCATGAGTAAGTACTCTTAATTTTGTTCGTAACTTTTTGGTCAGTTGATTTGCTGTACAGTTATAGCAGAAGGATAGTATGTTTAGTTTTTCGTACATTTTGTTACTTATCCAGGTGTTATGAATTATGATAAGGGAACAAATTGTGTGTTAATATAATTTAGCAAATAGGAGGTATAAGACTTGAAGTTAAATTTTAGGAATTGATAAATTCTTCTTAATGTAGTCACAAAATTAATAAACTAAAAATGTAAAGATAAAACAAAAGAGATTAAACACAGATAATCAATATTTTCAAATAGGATGAGGAATGAAAGTTCTAGAAAAATAAGAGTGGGAGAAAGACTAAGCACGTTAGAAAAGTTGAGAAACGGGACATATATTCCAAAGATGAAATAAGATTGGGTAAATCAAAATTGTGCATTGTTCTGTATTTTTGTACGTTCTGCAACTTATATTTGTGTGCACTGTAGAGCTATCTTTTTAGGGTTTTATAAAAATATGTTGTAGGAAAAGTGATTGTGTAATGTTATAGAGATTCGTTTTGCGTGCCTTAGTTTTTTTTTTTTTTTTTTTGCTTTAGAAAGTGCGAGCTCCATAAGATATTATATGTGCAGGAAACTTTTTTGTGTCATGTTAAAGGACAAACGAAAACCCCATCTTTTTATCTGATTTATGTTTCCTTAATATTACTACTTTTGTCTGTGTCTTGTCTAAAGAACTCATAGTTTCTTATGGCTTCGGATCTCGATCAATATATAGTATTTGATTTTAATTAGTTGAAAGTGGATCTAATATTCATGATAAGGGAAACAGTGAAAAATCCAAGGTTGGAATTGCAATGAAAGAACCATAGATTTTGTCAAGGTCAACATCTAGCAACATTGCCATTGATATTTACCTAACCTTTATTTCATAGTCTCCAAAAATTTAGATCAATTGAAGTCTTATCTTTATTTATGTTCTAATTCATCTCCCAAATTGTGGCCTTGAGTTTGGTGATTTAATAGCCAGAGACTCCCCATCAAGCAGCATCCTACAACCTGTTAGGTAAATACTGAAGTATGTATACATGCCACCACAGATGCAAATTGTATCAGGGAAACTCTAATATACTGTATTTTCTCTTTGCTTTTGTATTTGTCTATGTGGTCATATTTTCTTGCCTTCCAAGCCTCTGTTGGGTGATTTTGTCAATTCAGCTCTTAAATTCTGAGTTAATTATTCTTTATTTTTTGCATTCATGCAATATTTTCTACTTGTTTAGTTAAATCTTATAATTGACTATATGTTCTGCGGACACACACCTTGCAGGATACAGCTTCTAAGGGTCCTATTATGAAGGAAGAGATGCAAGCTGTAAATTCTGACACAACTAAGACTTCTGATAACTATTGAAGAGGCTGATAACTATTGAAGAGGCTTAGTCCTGTGTTGCATAGTATCAGTATGCTTCAGATTGAATAGCTTGCTAATTTGACATTAAATAGAGTAGAGTGATTGTTGGATGTCTTAGGATTTATGTTAGTTTTTCTTTGCTTAGGGACATCCATGTGGCTATGTTCCTGGTATCAAAGGTTGAAAAATGTAAAGATTGCATGATTGTACTGAGAAAAAAAAAGCTGAACTTCTAGTATTTCATATGCTTATGTATAGTTAAAATAAATAATTGAAACTTTTTTGTTTTTATTAAAATCAGTAGTGTGTGATTTAAACTTTGTCTGTGATGCCATTTCCATATAAGCATATTTGGTACTTGATTATTTCTCCATATAGTGACTTCCAAAACATAAAAAAAAGATTGCTTTTTGACAAGAAAAATTACTCATGAATCCACGCTACATCTCATTCTATTTATATGATTCTCATTTTTCCATTTTTAACTAATATGTGATTTTGTTATTCACATTTGATTTTCCAAAACAATAATTCCTAAGGCATTAGAGCTCGCCTATCATGGGCTTTACAATTAACCAACAGTTATTCCTTAGAGCTCAAAACAAAAGATCGCATACCAGTAGTAGGGAAATTAATTCTTCAACTAATTTAAAATAAACCATGTTTGCAACAAAGGTGGACACAATTGGCTAAGGATTTTGCCTTGTTCTGCTTTCTAGTAGGACTCTATTGAACCAAACCGCATTTTCTGGTTCTGTTGTGATTACGTGTTGAAGCATTTGCTTTCCTATGATAGTTTCTTCTATTGCTATGGATTGGTTAAAGTCAAGAACCTTCCATTTTGTCAATAACAGATATTATGAGGGTAACTTATTCCACTTTATGTTGTGCTTGTATCAATAAAGATTATAGTCATACATAACTATGACAAATGATTAAGATTCAATTCTGAGGTTTCTCTTCAGGATTTGATATGGTATTCATCAGGTATGCTTTTTGGTTTCTATCATAATGATGTTGGATATATGCTCTTTTGGTCATTAAAGTCCTATTGGACTTCAGTGAAATTTGAACCCATGAGGCTTAGGGTTGAGTTATGTCTAAGACCTAAGCGTATATATTCATAGTTTTCTCCTCTTGTGCCTCCAAGGTGAACAGATCATCAGAAACAAACCCCAAGAGGCAGACGTTCATCATCTGAACGGTTGCCCACACAACCATCTCAAGGAGGTTGTTCGTGCTGCGGCGCTGAGGTGAGCTGTTCGTGAAGAGGAATCCTACAAGGGAAGATTCTACACGAGACCTGCGCACCGAGAGGTAATTGTGAAACAAGGATGATTCGGTAAGCATACCAATGTACTAGGTCCTAAACCGTTTCCGCATAAATCTAAGTTTTCCTACAATTGGTATCAGAGCCTTGGCTGTACATTGGTATGTGAATCTAGTTTCACTATTCATGTAATTAGTTTTGCTTCTTGAAATGTGGCACCTAGGGTTCTAGGATTATGGTATGAATCTAGCATGTGTATTTTATAATTCATTTTCATAAAAGTTTAAATTTTAATCGGTAAAAATGCTTTAATCCATGGTTAGGGTCTCTCGTGTATTTCTCGATTTGTAACAAGGAGGCTAATCTCATATGATTAGGTTTCCTCCTTGCTGTTTTTGTTTATTTTTGGAATTTCTGTGTATTTTTTCAATATTTTGTAAAAGTTCAAGATCGAGAAATCGCGAGGAAGATGCGTAGTCAGCACCGTCGGAGACTTTTGGAGGACTTAAAGATCTCGGAATGGGGCGATCTATATATGGTTGGAAAGAGGACGGAAAAACAAACGCAACGGTGGGTGGATCACCTCCATCGGAGACTCCACGCTCCACCACGCGCCTCCACAAGAGGCTGAGAGTGGCCGCCACTCTCCGGCAAAGAATGGGAGAGTGAGAGAGCGTCCGGCCACCTTTTTGGGTGGTTCCGGCGGCGGTGCACTCGTCTCTATGTGACAGTCCTTCCCCTGGAGTTTAGGCCTGATTTGACTTCGGGTGACGGCGCGGCAGACCTGACGGCTAGGGTTCCTCTTTCGCGTCCTAGGGTTTCTCGCCAAAGGATTGGGTCTTTGGGCTTTGGACCCATGGAAACCCTAAAGGGGCTTGAGACAGATACTATGGGTTAGGCGAAAGTTGAATTCCAAAGTTGTAACATTTTTTTTATTTTCTTTAAAATAGGAATGTCATGGATTAAAGTAATTAGATTTTATTATTTAATGCTTTTATTGATTGGTATAAATTATATGATTGATAACATGCTTTATTGCGATAACATGCCATATAGAATAGGTGGTGCCATATTGTTGCATAACTTGTATGATTGCATGAGCATAATAGCTATTATGTCTTCAGCGACTAATATGATAGTTATTATGGGATTATTTTGATTTTAAATCATCCTAAGAAATTAATTAATAATTATTATGATTTTTATTAAAAATCTAGATTAATAATTGAATTAATTAATTTTGGATAATTAACATCAAGACAAATAATCGTTATGGAAATTATTTTGATTTCAAATTATCCTCATAAATGATAATTATTATGATTGTTGCAATCTAGATTAATAATTAAGTCAGCTATTTGGATGATTTAAATCTAGAAAAATAATTAGAGAAAATTTCCTAAGAGAATTCTTTTATTTTGCGAGTAATTTGTGGGTTTTCTGAAATGGTCATGGAATAACACACGCTGCATACAACCTTCATGTATCATGATTGTTTGGAGCACACGCTGACGTAAAGTGACCGGATTTCAGGACCTTAATGCTTTCAAAATTATGTTAAGCTTAGTGCACGTTTATCGGCGCTCTTACTTATATAGTTTTTGAAATCGAACAAAGGATACTCTCAATTAAATAATTCTTGGAAATTAGAAAATGTTGCTTATCGGCTATGGCAATGGCACTGAAGGCCCAAATAACAATTTTGGTTTTTACAAGTGACTTGCCCATCGTAAGCCTTGTAAAGATAAACTGAAGGATTGTTAACAATAAACAAGAGTAGTTATGAGAATCTACTCGCACTTCGTTTGTTTATTGCATTATTTGTTTGTAATTGTGTGCTTTATATGTTTTTCAGAAAATATCTTAAAAATAATTTTGAGTCGAAAACCTCTAGATGGTACCAACTATGAATAAGTAAAAAGTAAATTTTTTGATATTGTTCTAAAACATGGAAGCTAAAATTTGTTCTAACAATGCAAGGGCCATAGCAACCTGCAAAGAATGCGTCTAAGGAAACTAAGATGCATTTCTCAGATTAGGAAATGGCAGATATAGTAGTTCGCTGCTATATTATTGTCAGTCTTTCCAAATACTTGCTGAAGCAAGTGTACATGATTAAGAGTGGAGTAGAAATGCTTCAGACTCTTAATGACATGTTTGCTGCGTCTAGCAGCTCTGCTAGACAGAATGCAGTCGGTGCAGGTTTTGCTAAGAGTCTTGTTAAATCCAAAGGGAAACCCAAGGGTGATAATAAGAACAAAATGACTTGGTTATCAGTTGTCAAATCAGTTGCTATGAAGAAGCCGAAAGGCAAGTTCTTCAAGTGCAGACTGAAGGGATACTGAAAGAAAAATTGCCCAGAGGTGATGAAAAGAACCTGACATGGGCATATCAAGGCCTGATCAGTGAATGAATTATTGATTCAGGAATCACTGATTATGTTTGTTACTCTTTGTAGTAGTTCAAACATGGCATACCTGTCAGCAATGGACATAGATATTTTAAGCTTGAAAATAGGAACTTGTGTCTGCATTTGCAGTAGGACAAGTTATTTATAAGACTATGGTTTTGGGTGACTGTTTATTTGTTCCAGATTTCAAGAGGAATTCATTTTTTGTTAGTTGTTTTGGTTAAAACATGGGTTGACAATGCAATTGATTCCTCAGTTACATTTCGATGTTCATCTTCGTCTTGTTTGTTCTGGTACATTGTTTAAATAGTCTTTATTACCTATGTCATATACCCTTTTTTAAATTTGTTGTGTTGAATGGAAAGGATGATGAACAAGAACTTTCACCAAAGAAATAAAAGTTTCAAATGAAACATAACTTTGGCCTTTGTGATTGAGTCATATTATCTCAAGTAGGAAACATATTTTAGTTAAAAAAGGGACTGAAAGTTCAATAATCTTTTAACTAACAGCTACATGTTAGTCCTGTTTGGAAGGTAAAGTAACAAGCAATCCTACAATGGCCAAAAAGGTTTGCGCAACTATTCAACTGGAACTGGTACATACTAATGTATGTGGACCAATTAGCGTTCAGACCAGAAGAGGTGATGAGTACTTCATTATATGAATGTTTACTCTGGATTTGGACAGATGAATCAAGTGCGCCATAAGTCTAAAGTTGTTGGAAATTTCCAAGAGGTTTAGTCTGAGGCAGAAAAGCATGTAGGTGTTCAAATCAAAACACTTTGGTCTACTAAAGTGTTTGGCTACCTGTCTGGTAATTTCAGGTCTTACCTGATTTAAGAGGGGATAGTTTTTGTAACTGTCAACTCTAAGAACGCATTAGTTGAATGAAGTTGCAGTATACAAAAATCAAACATTTCTAGACTTGGTGAAGATTATGTTCAGTTATTCATCTTTGCCAATGTTGTTCAAGGGAGATGCCTAAGAGAAGGAAATGTATCTTCTTAACTTGATTCCGTCAAAGTTTGTTGTAAAGACTCCTAAAGAATTATGGAAAGGGTGCAAGCCCAGATCAAACCATATTCGGATTTAGGGTGCTACGGCACACGTCCTACAACAGCAGTCAAATGAGATGGAATCTTGTATGGAAGAGTGCATATCTTTTGGCTACCCTAAGAGAACTAGGGATGATTTCTTATTTAGTCTTAAGGACAAGATAATCTAAGTGAGCACTCACATGATTTTCTTAAAGGAGGACTAGATAAGAAATTATAAGCTCTTAAGTTAGGTTATTCTTGATGAGATTTATCTCAGATCAAGAATTTCCAGAATCTCTAGAAGCTTCATCCACTGTTCCCTTGATTGTTCGAAAGGGGATAGATATATCTCTAAGTGAACAAACAAGAAAACCATGATTGGAAATTCAACATGATAATATATAAGTGAAACTAGTAGAAATATTAGTATCACATGTAAAGGAACAATATCAAGGATAAGCGGATCCTCAAGAAATTGAAGATC